GCCTTGTATTCTAACCCAGAGCACTTCAGAGTGCCCCTCGTCTTTGCTAATTGACGAGGATGTGTATTCCTTATAAGAGTAAGAATTAATTTTGATCCATTATGCAATCACCTCTACGCACAGGACTCATACACAAATCAAGACAAAAATATTTTTTGAAATAAAATTAAAATATGTTATTATAAATATTTGACTTTTAGTATATAATTTTTTTTCCAGTTCCAAGTGGCAAACCTCCTTTCCAAAAGGAGTACTCACAGGCTGTGGGATGACACTCTCAGCAGCACTGTAGCAGAAAGGCATCTCGGAGTCATAATTGACTCCAAGACGAACATGAGTCATCAATCTGATGAAGTGATCAGTAAAGCTAACCGCACTTTATCATGCATTAGCAGGTACATCACGAACAGGTCAAGGGGGGCGATACTTCCCCTCCATTCAGCACTGGTGAGGCCACAGCTGGAATACTGTGTCCAGTTTTGGATGCCTCACTTCAAGAGGGATGTGGACAACCTTGAGAGGGTCCAGAGGAGGGCCACTCATATGGTTAGGGGCCTGCAGGTAAGACCCGATGAGGAGAGATTGAGGGACCTGAATCTCTTCAGCCTCCACAAGAGAAGGCTGAGAAGGGATCTTGTGGCTGCCTATAAATTCATCAGGGGGACAGGAAGGGATAAGAGATGCTCTGTTTACCAGGGCACCCCCTTGGAGCAACAAGAAATAATGGCCACAAACTGACAACAGAGCAGATTCATGTTAGGCCTCAGGAAGAACTTCTTTCTGGTAAGGGTTACCAGAATCTGGAGCGGGCTTCCAAGGGAGGTGGTACTGTCCCCTATCAGGGGTCTTTAAGAGAAGACTGGATAAGCATCTGGCTGGGGTCATCTGACCCCAGCGCTCTTTCCTGCCTGGGGCAGGGGGTTGGACCCAGTGATCTACTGAGGTCCTTTCTGGCCCTAACATCTATTCCTGGAGGCAAGGGGTGGGACTTCTGGTGGCAAAGGTCAGGGGAGGGTGTTCCAGTCCCAAGATGGCAGTCAGGGGGTGAGGCACCTGTCAAAGGGCAGGGCTACCCTTGCAGCCCTCGACAGCTCGCCAAATCTCGTGAAGCAGCCCTCCAGCTGAAATAATTGCCTACCCCTGTTCTAGGACCTTCATCTCATGGGTATTACCTTAATAGGTATTTTCCAGCATAACGGATGACACAACAACTTTAATTACTAGCTTCATAGAAAATGGATTCTGAAAAAGGGAACTGATGCAGCTTTGCTGACTTCTATGAAGCAATGCCAACTTACAGTCACAGACTTTGGCACATGCTGTGGTGGTTTCTTCACACTGTTCTGCCAGTGCATCTCAGTCTCACTCTGGTTTTCTAGTGCTGAATACGTCACAAATGAAATCTGACAACTATGCTAGTTCTGCAATATTCACAGAAAAGGAAATTTACTTTCACATGCAGCCTAGATGAACACTTTAATCTTTGGCAAAGGGTAACCCTCCTCAGAGGATTAAATAGGTCAGTCTTAAACACTGCCAGCTTATATCATAGACTTCAAAAGGAACCAATACTACTTAGCACTTTGAAAGACAGACTCAGTACTTTTGTAGAATAATGTCCTTATGGCAGAGGTTGGCAACCTGCAGCCCATGGCCTAGATCTAGACATTGGTAGCAGTACAGCTGCTGGGTTGGTAGCATGGTACCGGCTTGAGAGTATGGTGGTCTGCCTTTAGAGCAGGGGCGTCCAACCTTTTTGAATGTGGGGCTGGATCACAAACTTTTTATCACCCAGTGGGCCGGCAATCCATATTTAAAGACCTCACAGGAAGTGGTATCACATCAGGAAGTGATGTCATGTGAACTTTGACACCAATGAAGTTGCAGGAAGTGACAATGAAATGGGTTTGGAAATGTGGTTTAAAATCCAATGTAAAAACAATATAAAAGCAAGAATGAAATAATACCAAACACTTGACTGTGAGCTCTGTTCACTGCCACACACTTCAGCATGCATCCATGTGTGTATGTGCATGTGTGTGTGCATGTGTGCCCTCCCTTGTATCTCTCCATCCTGGATGTCCCTGGTCTGAGGGACAAATGCAGCCTCTGGGCCGGGCTCCTCCTGCCTCCCGCCCAGCCCGGCTCTGGCAACTGTGTGCCCCGCAGCCCCAGCCTGGCCCCGAGCCACCCCCAGCTCTGTGCGGGAACTTACTCCATGCCTCCGTCCACCCTGGCCCAGCCCAGCCTGGGCCTGAGGTGCCCCCAGCTCCACGCAGGAACTTACCCCGTGCCTCCGCCCTGGCCCAGCCTGGCCCTGAGGTGCCCCCAGATCCGCGCGGGAACTTACCTCATGCCTCTGTCCACCACGCATGTGGGCAGGGTGCGGGCCATGCTGCAGCTCCCCCAGCCACACACCGGGGGCAAGGGGTGGAGCCAGAGAACAAGCTGCACTCGCTGTCCCCAGCTTGTCTAATCAGGTGTGGCTGGGGCAGCCCCACACCGTGTAGCCCTCGGGGCAGCGGCGGCAGGACCAGGCTCACTGATGAGCCCGGCCCCACAGGGATAAGCAGCTCCCTGCCGGCTGGGGCCCGTGGGCCGGCCCTGCCTGTCTCACCTTGCCGTTGCCCTGCCACCGTGGCTCCGCGCTCCATGGTGGCAGCGGTGCCTTGGGCCAGATAAAATGGCTTGGCGGGCCACATGGCAACCCACATGTTGGACAAGCCTGCTTTAGAGTAAGCTGCAGTAATGTGCCCTCACTGTTCCTAACAGATTGTTGATCCCTGCCTTATGGGATTTGAATAGCCCAGCAAAACTACAAAAGGGCATCCTTGATGAAAGGAAACAGTGATCATTGGTGATCCAATACGCAATACTAATATAACAACATACTTTATATAACATGGTCTATTCAATATTGCAAATTGTATTCATATCACACTTGTCTATGCTGTCCTTGGTACTTTACCACTCATCATTTTTGCGTCTCTTTTCAAATCTTAACATATACCTTTTCTGTAAGATCCACACAATTACTATTTCCCCTCTCCTTGGATTTTTAGCTAGTGGGACAGTTTCTCTAGAATGGCAAATGAGTATTCAGTGCAATGTGAAGGGCATCTCCAGAGTCCTTTGCAATCTCCGGACACTGAGGCTAACCAAGCACTTACTTAGTTCCTGGTGCAAACTGAAGCTGTTGTTGCTCTATATTTGCTCCTGACTGAAAAATCCTGGGTGGGAGGTGGGAGGGTCAAGAGGAAAGGAGTACAGGAAAGCCTAGCTATTCGTAGATTTGCGGTTTTGAATATCTGCAGTGCGCTGCACCAACCCACACCCTCTCCCCATGCAGTGTGATGACACTTTGTTACTGTGCTCTGCAAGTAAGGGGTGGTTCCAGAAATTTAAAAAGAGGCACAGCCTACATAATGTGGAGGTGATGGGGGAATTGCCATCAGGAGACCATGAAGCAGCACAGAAATATCCCCCATAGCTTCTTAAAATCATTGAGGAAAAGGATTACAAGACCGAACAAGTTTTCATTGCAGTACAGTAGTTGTGGATTTCCCCATTCACAGGGATCTCTAGAATGTATCCCCCATGAATGGCGAGGGTCTTCTGTATTTCATAGCAGGCAAGGATGAGACAGATATGGAGTGCACATCTCCTCCATCTGTCAGAAACAGGGAGAGGGTGCAGGACCTGCTTTGAGGCTCTAGATTCTCTCCTTGGGCAAGTAGAATCTTTCATTCTGCAGTTCTAAGCCTCCTTTGTATTGGCAGCATAGCAGAAATTAGCTAGAGCACTCTGGAGAACTGCAACTAAGGTTCTTCCTTAGTCACCATGCAGGACCGAATCTCCTGTCCCTGCTACTTGACACATACATCTATATGAGCACACAAACAGCAAATTACCGAGTTGCCTCTCCATCTACCCAACGTACAAATCTAGGGGGACAGCAGAAGTCTGCACAACTGAGAAGCCCTGACTGATAGCCACTGGCTTATGTAAAAACCTCTACCTAGGAATTAAATCTAAATCAATCTATGGAAGTATTGTGGAGGTACAAACAAGGGAGACAAGGATTTTAAGGATTTTGTGGAACTTGTGAAATCTGGTATTGCCTACAAAAGTTAGCAGTCTGCAAAATACATGAAAAAAGATAAGTAGAAAACTTACTGAAAGTAAAATGCTGGCTCCCCAGAGGCTGCACAGCCTGCTGTGGGGGGGAGGAGTGAAGAGGGGCTGCCTGCACAAAGGTCAGGCCATGATGGCTATTGCCTGACCCCTCACTCCTGAATGGCTGAGAGGGTTGCACTGTCATGTGGCCAACCCCTTTTCACCAATAGGCAGCGAGGGGTGGGGTCATATAATGAACAACACTTGCAATCAATCAGTGATGAGGGGCAAGGCCATATGACGGGCAGCCCTCGCAGCCAATCAGCAGTGGAAGGTGGGGCCATCGGAGCCCATTGGCCATCCAGAGGCATGGGACTGCCTTGCCACAATCAGCCTGTGAATATGGAGGCTGGGTCCACAATCTTCTCGTGAAATTGACTGGCCACCTCCTCGAGTTAAGTAGACCCCTACTTATAGCATGTCTCTTTCTCCCGCTTTCTGTTTTGACTGTAATCCCCTTTGGAAAGTGATGGTGTCTGTATAGTACAGAGCACAGTCTGGACACTACTGTAATATAAACTGTAAATAATAATAGCCAGGAAATTTTGCATATGAATCATCCCCTTCCCTCCCCACCTTGCACAAAAGGCCTTGGCTGCCACCTTTCCTCTGGATGCTGCACAGGGATTTACTCAAGTTCATGCTGTAGAAGAGGACAGAGATTGAATAAACTGGACATTTGGCCCACCCTCCAGAGCTGCAGGGGGTTCTCAGAAAAGATATTCCAGCCAAGGGTTGATTTGGCTGAGTTATGAGTGTTTTTAAGTCCATGTGCTGAACATGCAAGGTATAGCAAGGGCTTTTTTTTCCCCCTAACTAAGCTTCTTAAGTTCACACTAAGGAATGATGCACTGCATATTCACACACTGCTAGATTAGTTTTGCAGTGACCTGCCTAGTGCCCTGTTCCACATTGGTCCTGACAACATTCCAAATATTCTGGGAAACCCAGGGCCTGGCAAGAGCTGTCCCTGTCTCCGTGCTACTAAACTTTGCCAAAGAGAATGCATTCTGAGCCGGGAGGTAGGAACCCCTTATGTCTCTCACATATTTCTGAAACTGGAGAAGAGTGGAATTTCAGTTCTCTCTCTTAAAGTACTGGCTTAGAGAAAAGAGCTGCTCTGTTGTCAAAAGCTTTAGCAATGCCTCAGTATTACACCCTGGATATTCAAATATTCACCAGAGTTTTTTAGTGCATTCACCTGAATAACTCTTGTTCTTTGTGGAGTAAAACAAGGAGCACTAGGATTAAACCACCTGTAAACTACATGAGCATGGGAGATACATTATTTAGCAATGTTTTCCTAATAATATTTTAAAGTAATTTGTCATTGTTACTCCTTCTTTGTTGGGAAACTCTGTGAGGTAGCAAATTAAACTTGTCTTAAAGCCGCCCCCAGAACACAGAAGTGCTGGTTAAAGAGATAGTGGAAAAGTGCCCTGTAGATGTAAAAATGAGGGGTGTCCAAAGTACAGCTTAGGGGTGGGGTTTGTCCCACAGAGCCACATTATTTGGTCCAGCACCTGCCCTGGGTGGTCTGGGATATAAGCTTCACGTGGCCCTTGCTCCAGCCAGTCTGGGTGCAGCACGGGTCCTGGAGTGGGTGATACATGTAGCACAATCCCAGACCAGCCACAGCACGTGCTGCATTGGCATGTGGGGGAAGGGTAGGAGTAGGAAGTGAGGTGTCCATAGGCCTAATCTAGGCCGTGGGACAGCACTGAATTGTTCATTTGGCCTAAAACCAGTCCTGCCTGGCCAGATGAGTTTGGTGTCCCTATAATAAATGAAGAGGGAGAAAGTGTGATCTTGTGGATAAGATACAGGTTCACCCTGGTGTAACTCACACATAGACTTGGTTTTTACCAGAGATGCGTTTGGTTTGGTCCACTGTTTTTGAAAGTCTTGGAGAGTGAAGAAGGAGAATTACTTCCTAGGTAGGCCTGTGTTCACAATCTTTCAGTTCACAACAAATTACTGAGGTGTATTTGAGTGAATCAGAATGTAAAACTTCAAAAGATCCTAATAGTAACTGCCTACTTCCAGGTATATGTTGCTTCCTGACAGTGAAGCTATGCATTCTCCAGGTTTGAACAGTTGGCAAAGTTTAAGTGTTAAACAAGGATTGCTCCATCCAGCTCTACAACATTTAGAATTTATTTACAACATGCTCGGAATTAACAAGAGATCAACAGATAGCTAACAAGCACATGCAGTTTCACTGTATGACTTGGAGCCTGGGCTATTTTTAAACCTTTGACTTGTGGCATCTTAGAAGAGATGTAGTTACAGCTGAAGATGCATTTCCATTTCCATTCCAAGGTCAAAATTATTCCCTTAGATACACATGCTATTCTCTCCTCATGGAACTGAAGCTTCCTCCACAAACAGAACAACCCCTTGTTGGCAGAATATCAATCCTAAACCCTGTCTGGCCTCAAATATCTCATTCTTCACATAAGATTTGATGAGTAATTCAAGGATGCCTTACTGCACTAAAATAAGGAAGAACATGACTACCACAATAGGAATCTTTGCCCCAACACCATTTTGCCATATGGATTTCAAAAGCAAATGATAGATTTGGTTTTGTGTCATAATTATGGATTAGATGTTTTAGGGCAGGGGTGGGCAATATACAGTTTGCAGGCTGGATCTGGGCCACCAAGGGATTTTGCTTGGCCCACAGCGAGTCCTTCTGCCCTGCCCAACCCAGGCATGGGGGGTAGCCTAGTCTGTGGCACATGCGGCCAGTTCTGTGGCCCACCAGGCACACAGCGGGGCTGGGGCAGTGTGACAGCTTCCTGGCAGCCCTGACAGTGGAGGCTCCTTTTGGCTGCCACTGCCAGTGTTGCCCCAATGCCAGACCTAGCCCCGCTGCCTGGGCACACCAGCCAATCAGCCCTGCACCCACCACTGGGGACAGGACCTGTGCAGGCAGAGTGCAATGCCAGATGAATGGGATGGGGCTGCAGGTGCATGGGAAGTGGTGTCTGGGAGCAGGACAGGCAGGCAGGTTTGCGATCATTAGGCAGTCACAGGGTGGTGATAGCACGGGGCCAGATACCAGGGCAGAGCCGTAATCCACTGCCTACACATCCCTACAATGGACAGTGATTCCGTGGCCAGGGGCGTATGGGGAGCAGATGACAGCTCTGCCCTGGCCCCTCACTGTCACTACTCCAAGATGCCGGCCCTGGCCCCTGCCCTCCTGTCTCACTCCTGCATCAGCTCCTCACCCACCCAAAACCCCATCTTGATTGCATGGCTGCACGCCCTACCTGCACAGATCCTGAACAGTTTCCATGGAGACCCCGGGATTGCTGGGCAGTGACAATGCAGCGCTGGGGCCTGGGGCAGCGCCACGATCCACTCCCTGCACACCTGTGCCTGCGAAACCAGCATCTGTCACAGGGGGGCACAGGGAATGGACTGCGGCTCTGCCTCGGGCCCCATCCCAACTACGCGGCATGGAGCAGAGGCACTTAGGGAGTTTTAGTGAGCTGTTGTCAGGGAGGGAAGGGTGCTGACTTGGCCTGTGACAGGCCCAAAATGCCCTCAGGCCCAAATAATTGCCCATCCCCCTCTTAGGTATTGATAATGAGATAAAGAATCTTTCACTTTCACATTACTAGTTCAAATACAGACTAGGTAGCTAATGACCAAATGTAGTTACAATCTGACAGCTGGTCAATGGCTTGAATGAAATAAGCCGGTGGTCTCAGGTTAGTTCCTAATAAAGAGAATCCCTTGTTTCAAGTAGCACCCTTCCAGGGGATTTACAGTCAAGAGTATAAGAGCCCAGAGCTTGAACTACCCTCTCATATGTAGAGCGACCCCTCAGTGGTTTGGGGTACATTAGTAGAACACTGTGGGACAATCCCTCCTTTTCTTGCTATGTTGTATATTTTTCTCTGCATGCAGGATATTGTTTTTCAAGGCCATCCCAAACTGTCCACAGCACTCAAATCCCAGAGAGACAGGTCTGTTTTACAGATTCTTGCTGCTAGCCATACTTTTCATCACTGCTCTAGGTCACTGCTTTTTCAGATGAATAAAATATTTGAGTCATCCTTGACCTATCAAAGCCTAACAAGATCTATGGCAGAGAACCATTTTGTGATGAACTAATTTAAAAAGCCCTGGGGTCGAAAGGTGGGTATTATTTCAAGGGCTTGACCTCACTGATTTTGTGGTGGGAATTTTGCTCCCAGAAATAACTGCTACTGCAATTTTGCAGGCCCATTTTCTAGTTCTTAGATGTCTAATTGCCTAATTTGTAGGCGCAACTAGGTAGTTAGAGATCTAAGTGCTAAAACTGACAATGACAATTATTTCCTGAAGCAAAACTGCAGGCACAAAAATGAAAGCAACTTTAAACAAAACAAAAACAAAAATGTGTTTTTAATTGTAGATAAAAGTAATTCCTTCCCATCACCAGCAGCACTGAAATACAGTGCCCTGAAGGAAGTGGCAAAGGCCAGGTTCATAATTGTTATACATTGGCTGCATGTTAGTGAAGCTGTAAATGTTACAGTCTGACAGGCACTCCATTACAGTGGGATCCTTCAGTAGTTCTCTTAATTAGTATAAGTAGGTTATCAAACCTGGCCAACTGTTGGGCAACTGCACCAACGTTTTGTTTGCTTAGTCACATTTCACAGCTTGGTGACTTTGTGCATGCAAGTGCATGTCCACGTGTGTATAAGCATAGAGAAATCTTTCCATATTCTGCTTATGTCCCCAAAGCCCCTGGCACATGTTCATTTAATGGTGGGATGGGATCTGATCCTTCATCCCAACAATTGTTCCTCCTGCCTTGCCACAAATGCCTTGCAGGAGCTGCCAACTGTTGGAATAAGGGACCAGAACCTATCGTACCATTACTATTTGCCAGCGTAGGGGAAGCCCGGGATTCAGTTCAGTCTGGGGCCATTGCTGGCAATCATCTGGTTGTCAGGGTTGAACTTTTTGGCTGAGACCCCAGACAGCACCGTGGCTGGTTTGAGCTTCCAGAGCAGTTTTTAAAACTTCCCCAGGCACTTGGACCCAGGCAACGTGCAGGTTTCAAGACCAGGGCTGTCCAGGCCGAGCCAACAATCAGCAGATTGGTAAAACCTCATGCCTGGCAGCCCAGGCACAGGGGAATCAAAGACTGC